GACCGGGATTTGAACCGGTGACCTTCTTGCTGAGAGGCATCAGCTCTACCAACTGAGCCACCGTGCCGCCGAAACATACGTCACTGCATGGAATTTCTCCTCTCAACAGCAATGCAGAAAAAAAGTCACTCACCTGACGGACTTTTATCCACATTTGTTCTGGTTAAAAAGCTCCAGAGTTTCAGAGTCCTCTGTGCCTGTTTATCTGTTATGTCTGTTTATCTACATTCAAGAGTTTTTCACGGTTTGACTATCTTTATAAAACTCTGCTTCCTGGTCGGCTCGGGGAGCGGGTCGGTTTTTTTTCCTTTTTTTACCGAGCGGTTGAAGTAAATGCAGCGCATAGCGCTGTCTGCACAAACACGCATGAGTTTTTCTCAGTTTGTCTGTCTTTAAAACTGCTCAAAACAGTCTGCTCTAGTCAGAAGAGTTTTTGTTTTTTTCTTCTGCTGTGTCCGTTCGACCGCTTTCAGTTCAGACCAATCACACATTACCGTCGACACGGGAGGGGGGTCAAAAAGTTCTGCCGGGGGCTTGTGCCAAAAGGGGCTGTCGACACGACGCTGCGAAGCCCGGTGACGTAATTTTCGTCATTAAACTGCGACAACCTGTGCCGACGTCGGCAGTTCGCAGGGAGTATGTTTCAGCTTTAGACTGCTGGAACACAAACTGAGCACATTTCCTCACTCTGCTGTTGTCTTTAGTCTCTCTTCTCTACATGTTTGTTGTAATTATTTCTATCAATAGCATGTTTTTTCTTTTTGTCTGTTTTCCAGAAGAAGTTGCACCTGGACCAGTCCCGAATCAGTCCTTCTGTGTTTGTCTGTCTCTTTTCTGTCCCTCAACCAGCCGGTCGAGGCAGATGGTCTCCTGTCCTGAGCCTGGTTCTGCTGGAGGTTTCTTCCTGATTAGCAGGGAGTTTTTCCTCTCCACTGTTTGCTCAGGATGGGAGACTGTGATGAAGTGATTCAACACAATCTGCTGGTTTCTTCTTTAGATTGTTCTTTTTATGTACAGTGTCCTGAGACAACGTATGTTGTGACATGGAGCTATATAAATAAACTGAATTAAATTACTAACATATGTATATTTATTACTATAGTAATAAATGTTCAAGACCAATTCCCTGGGGTAAACACTGAAGTCATTGTTCCAAAAGTCTGAAACTTGGAATTTCAGGTCTTTTCAAGTCTGTTTTTGAAAGCATGTTGCAGTTCTACATTAAATATAAATAACAGGACATGTGCTCTCTTTTTTTTAATCAGTGATTTGTCTCAAATTGTGATGGAACATGCAGCTGAAAGTACTTTTAAAAAYCTTTTTAAAATTGCAGCCTTTGTATTAAACATTTCAAATAAATTTGGCTGCAAAAAGTCTTTAAACTATAATTATCCATTTTTAAAAAAAAATCTGGTTAATTTGATTTGCTGTGCTGCAGCTCACGCACACATTTGTAGAGAATGTGAAAGAAGATGGTCTGCCTTTGTTCACACAGGATGAATGAACTGAATTAAAGAGGTCCACTTTATAAATRATGTCYATTAAACTTTAGATTTTGGGTAAAATATCAAGTCTTTTCAAGTGAACACGGTCAAGTCCCAAGTCTCTGAAGATTTTTTCAGGTCAAGTCTAAAGTCCTAATGTCTCTGCCACATACATGAGCTGCTCTGTGAGCCTGAACACCAAACATCTACAGGTCACATTGTTACGGGAAACATCACTTTAGCCCGTTAATAAGCTCCACAACACATCTGTTCCRCTTCCTGCTGTTTTAGGCTCCTTCTGTAAATGTAAATCAAATGATCCAGATTGTAATCCTGCAGGACAGCTTTAAAAAGAAACCTGCTTGGTGTCGTTTCACTCGTCAGTGGTTCATGTTAACCTGCTGGGTGTGAACCATGAAACAAACTGACCTGGATGTACTTAAAGGCTCTCTTTGCWGAGGGCTTTGAATAATCAAACAGTTTCAAGGTGTAGTCTCTGGAGCCAGAGGCCAGGATCTGTTCAGTGGGATGGAAGGCCAGACAGGTGACTTCATCAACGTGGTCGTAGAGGGTCCGAATCACRGGGTGGTTCTCCATGTTCTGCTGCGCCGTTTCATTCATCATCACCTGACACACAAACAAAGTGTTACCAGAACAGCTCCATGAGGAGCACCTGTCCTCTGCAGGCCGTGCTCACCTCTATGGGCATGGCACTTTTAGCCAGCATGCGCTCCGTATCCAGAATCTTGATGGAGGCGTCAGCAGAACCAGTGGCAATGAGCTGCCCGTCCCGGCTGTACGTGGCCACGCGGCACGGGCCCTTGTGAGACGTCACGTAGCAGGTCTCGTACTCTGAAGCCTCTGGGGACATGGTCTGCACRTCTGCATCAAACTCCAGATCAATGCCAACGCCTGGGGCCACTGTGTCTGAGCGTCCAATAGCATACTGAACAGTACTGTCATCATTCTCCATCCCTGAGACACACAACACAACACAAACATGAGAAGTCCATCACTGAGACACACAACACAACACAAACATGAGGAGAACTCTGGGACAACCCAAACACACAGACATGGACTATTTTGCAGATACCGCCATCTATGCCGAGCACAAAGCATCATAGTCCAGTTTGGAGGCATCCGGTGCCGGTGTGTGAATTAAATGACTGAAAATGGATCAGGTGCTGTGTTTTACATGTGTATATGTGCAACAATGATCCCAAGTAGATGAAAACAAGATTGTCACCACTCAGTTTAGTAGATCTTGAGCTAAATATGTTGACGTGGTTTACAGCAATCTGAGCAGCATTAGGGATGGCCTGATTTTTGATTCAATCGTCTATCAGCGATTGAAGGGTTGGAATGTGATTTTTTTTAAAGGGCGATCTTTATTAACTAATTAAATGCCGTGCCAGGGATGTAAAATAAATTTTAAATGTGCCCTTCTCTGTAAATTATCGTTTTAATCATCATCACTGTGATCTGTGTGTGTCTCTGGTTTATTTTTATTTACTTTTCTCGAAGTCGGCGCTAACATGCGCAACTCCTCTTCACGTATCTCTTCGCGTCATCTTCTTGCTTTGGTGAGCCACAAGTGACCCAAATAGTGCTATATTATAACGTTTAGTTACAAAACCAATAATCCATGACAATCATACATTTGAACAAATAATTTAACCAGTTCCGATCTGGTGTGTGTGTGTGTGTGTGCGTTTGAAGCGCGGTTCGAACTTTTCACCCCCCTCCACATAAGAACACATACAGGTGCTGGTCATAAAATTAGAATATCATGAAAAAGTAGATTTATTTCAGTAATTCCATTTAAAAAGTGAAACTTGTATATTTTATTCATACA